GGGAAGGCCTCTCCCGCCTCCTCAGCAGTGCTAAGGATGTCCAACTGCAGCTTATGCCTGCTCCCTGCTGGTGAGTGTACATCCCCTGAGGGCTCCTGGGCTGCCAGAGGGATGTCTGATTTGCCAGCTTAGGCCCAATCCCCTGGGGAGCAGGCCTAAGCCAGCAGGTCGTTATCTCTCGAGGGGTGCCAGACTGCGAGAGGGCACAGGCCGGGCTGAGGGACCCCCCCTCCCCGCCGAGTGCACAAATTTTTGTGCACTGGGCCTCTAGTCTTATATAATAAAAGGCTAATATGCAAATTGACTGAATGGCAAACAACCAGCCGCTATGACGCACACTGACCTCCAGGGGGCACATGGTCAATGGAGGAGCTGCCCCCTGGTGGTCAGTGTGCTCCCACAGGGGGAGTGCCTCTCAACCAGAAGCCAGGCTCATGGCTGGCGAGCGCAGCGGTGGTGGTGGGAGCCTCTCTCGCCTCTGCAGCAGCACTAAAGATATTTGCCTGCCGCTTATGCCTGTGGGCCTAAGCCAGTGATGACGAACCTTTTCAGCTCGGCGTGTCAGCATTTTGAAAAACCCTAACTTAACTCTGGTGCCGTGTCACATAGAGAAATTTTTTGATATTTGCAACCATAGTACAACAAAGACTTACATTTTTTATATTAATTTTATATATTTAAATGCCATTTAACAAAGAAAAATCAACCAAAAAAATGAGTTCATGTATCAGAGGTTTGCCACCACTGGCCTAAACCCTCAGTTGGGCATCCCCTGAGGGGGTGCAGGCTGGGCTGAGGTAACCCCCACCCCAGGGCACGAATTTCGTGCACCAGGCCTCTAGTACTCTCAATAATAAAGATTTAAAAAAAAAAAAGAGCTACATATGAAAATAATCTGAGGTACTAAACAGCCACTGAAAATAAGATTATCAAAAGTGAAAGCTTTCCTAAATTAGCAACTTGAGACACTGTCAATCCCAGTAAATAAGTACATTTGGCTTTAGAATCTCTGCTTACTAAGTACCTATATATTTTCAGTACTATGGTAGGTTTTGACTTGTACATGTTAAATTGTGATTTGGTGTTCCAAAGTGAAACAAACAATATTTTAAATGATGTTATTAAGTAAGCAGTAACTTACTCTTCACATTTCCTTCACATGTCGAAGACAGAAAGGGAGGGGGTGACAAAACTTAAGCTTAAGGTGCAGCTGAACTGCTTTTAGGACTATATTATCACAAGGAACCAGAGGGAGATTTTATTCATTTCTTTAATTCTAACACCATGAAAAGTGTTTTTTCTGAGACTTTGAATTAGCTATTCAAGTTAACTCGATTTATTTTAATTCTCCCGACATCAATTAAAAAAAATCTTTGTTTATATTTTAAGAGTCTAGAGGAGAACAATAAAAAAAAATCAGTTGTGCATGTGTCATTTTTCTGAGAGCTTTTTAAAGCTCAATGATACTGAGTAGGAGCAAATCACAATTTCTCTTTTGTTTCTGACTACTATGGAACTAACAGCAAAAGTTGTCATTGCTAATAGGAATGAAAATGTGACTCTAAACATAAAGCTTCAAGCAATGACATTTCAAAACACTTCACTGAATGAGACATAAAGAAGTGACCTAATACAGAGCCTCTGGCTGCTTCATGAATATTAAAACAGCAGGCCTTTGTGGGTACTTACCTCCACCATACATGACAGCCAGCATGATGGATGATATCCATGATACTTCACTGCTGGTGGCGTGGAATATTTCTTCAATTTCTTTGAAAAACACAGTAATAGACTTGGGAAATGCATAAGAGTAGCCGATGGAAATGAAAGCTCCAAATACCACTGCCCACCCCCAGCCTCCATCTGGGGGGGTGTATCCAACCGGACCGCCAACTGCTGGTGGCATTTTAAGGGTAGATGAATTCCAAAATGCAGTTCAAATCCGAGTATCTGAAGGATATAAAATTAAAACAGTATGTCAGCTATGTCAGCAATAAAGCACTCCCACCCACCACTGCCAACAACAAACACTTCCACCCTTTACACCAAGCTTTCAAATAACGGAACTGTTTTTCAATGTTACTTGTCCAATGGACATTATCTTCTCAGGACATTATCACAAAAAGTCTTAGTGCCATGATGTTACAGGCCTGTGTGAGCTTATGCTTGGCAGAGCAATGTCTGTGGGAAACTGTTCTTCCAAAGATATACTATGTTTGATCTTGCTAGCAAAGATTTCCCATAGGCAAAGTCCTGCCAAATATAAACTGACAATCTAAAATTTCAAAACACATCAAGAATCAATTAACCATAAGTGAAGCTAAGCCAATCAACATAGCTGGATTAGATACTCAAGCACTACAGATCTTGGATATGGATATTTAAATGGCTAAAAGCAGTAAGGCATTAAAAGCACTTTAAACATTAATTAGACTAATTGAATTGAAACAGAACTTCTAGAAATGAAAAGTATACTCAATGAAATTAATAATAGGTTAACTAGTATACTGAACACAGCTGGAAAGAGACAGTAAACCTGCAGGATAGATCTGAAAAACTCAGAATTCAGTGGAGAGCTTTATTCTGAAGCTATGAGAGAAAGGTTTAGAAACATGGAGTTTAGAATGGGAGGATCAAGCATACATCTAATGGGACTTTGGAAAAAGATAAGAGTGGGAAAGAGACAACTTTCAACGGTTAATAGCTAAGGATATAGACTTGATGAATAATATGAACCTACATATGATGAAACCCAACAAGATAGAGAAAAATCTTTAAAAAAAACTATTAAGAAAATACAGATTGGTCGAGACGGCCCCGGTGAGGTCGAGACGCCCGGGTGAGGTCGGAACGGCTCTGGTGAGGTCGGGATGACTCTGGGGAGGTCGAGATAGCCCCAGTGAGGCCAAAACGGCCCCGGGAGGCCGAAATAGCCCCCGTGAGGCCGGGACGGGCCCAGTGAGGCCGGGATAGCCCCTGGGAGGTAGGGATGACCCCAGTGAGGTCAGGACAGCTCCAGTGAGGTTGGGACAGATAATGGGGACCAGTATAGACTGATGAACAGGGGTAGATACAGAGGCAGAGCAGCATTGAACAGACTGTCAAACAAAAGTGGGAAGCCTGGGGAGGGTTTGGGGGTTGGGGTAAGAGATCAACCGAAGGACTTACATGCATGCATGTAAGAATAACCAATGGACACAAGACACTTGTGGGTAGGGGAGACGGGGGGAATGTCAAGGGGGCGGGGGAAGGAGACATATGTAATATTCCTTGTAATACTTAAAGAAGTAAAAATTATTTTTAAAAAAAGGATCTACATGCTAAATGATAAAAAGAAAAAGAAAATACAGATTATATAATCACAGTGACAAAACAGAATTCTCATCAATTTTGAAAAACTAAGCCACTGTGTCTTAAATATTGGTTTTCCCTATTCTCTCTTTCCTTTCCTTTGAGATTCTAACTGAATGTGGGCAGGGCCTTCCGATGGTATCTACTCCTTTTCTTCTGTGTTTTCCATCCATTTGTTTCTCTGTACTAAGGATTTGAGGCCTAGGATATTATCTTTCTCCTGAGATATATTTCTAGGATCAAGATGTTTTAGGTTGCAGTTCATTTGAGGACTGCTTTGCCTCCAGTTCATCCTTCGTCCTACAGCACAGCCCTTTAGCATCCAACCCAAAAGAACAGTATTTTGTTACCAGAGCTCTCACTCTTGATGGGTTCTTGACTCCAACATTTTTTCCGTTGGGCCCATGAAGCTTTCCAAAGCACTACTTAAGCCACCGGAAACTGATCCTTTCTATAACTTGAAAGCCTTTAACTCCATAATCATATCACTATTGCCATAAGTAGAAAGCTAGTAAGATAAGTTGCCAAAATCAGATAATCATCAAAATAAGGAAGTCACCAATCAGAGGCTGCCAACATCTGCTGTTAGCTCTAAATCCGCATGACAGCACCATAAAAATGGATCCTACATATCCTGCCTCTCAATCTCAAAGCCAGTATCTAGACCTGGAGACATCTGTTCTGATTCTGCCTCACAAATGTCACAAGAATGCATTTGACTAGCAGAATTAAAATCAAATCCAGAAACATAGTTGCAAGGGAACCTGGGAAATGTAGCTTTTAGCTTTAAAGCCAGGGCAATATAGCAAAGTACACTAGGAAAAAGGATGTAATGGATGCCAAACACTATTTTCAAAATCCACAGACACATGTAGATGTGTCTGATACCATTTAATAAAATTTTGATACCATGTATGATACCATTTAATAAAATTTTAATCATGCAAAACAATAATATATTGTTTACAGACATACATAGGTAATAACAGTCATGATTGCTTCGCTTAATGATGGGTATACATTCTGCGAAATGCAACCTTAGGTGATATCGTTGTATAAACATCATAGAATGCACCAACACAAACAATACATGGTACAGCCTACTACACTCCTAGGCTATATTGTATAGACTATTGCCTCTAGGCTATAAACCTGTATGGCATGTTACTGTACTCAATACTATAGGCAATGTTTAACACAATGGTATTTGTCTATTAAAGCATATCTAAAGGTATAAAAAAGGTATAGTAAAAATGTTATGAAGATAGCGGTACATCTGTATGGGGCACTTATAATGAAACTTGCAGAACTAGAAGTTGCTCTTGGGTGAGTCAATGAGTGAAAGGTGAGTAAATGCGAAGGCCCAGGAATTCCACAAGGCTGTGGTTGAGATGGCAAACCACTTTAACCCTGCACGACTGTAGTCTATATTTATAAACACTGTATACTTAGGTTACGCTAAATTTATTAAACATTTTTCTTTTCTCAAATTAACCTTAGCTTACTGTAACTTTTTTACTTTATAAACTTTCAAATTTTTTGATTATTTTGTAACATTTTGTTTAAAACACATTGTACAGCTATACAAAAAATATTTTTGTTTATATCCTTATTTTATGAGATTTTTCCTATTTTTAAAAGTTTTTTTGTTTTTGCTTTTTAAACTTTTTTTTGTAAAAAAAAGAAGACACACATACACACATTAGCCTAGATCTACACAGGCCAGAGTCATAAATCCTTTACTGTCTTCCACCTCCACATCATGTCCCACTGGAAGGTCTAACATACATGGGATTGTCATCTCCTATGATAATGCTTTCTTTTGAAATATCTCCTGAAAGACCTGCCTGAGGCTCTTCTTAAGCAGGTGTCACTCTTTTCAGAAATATGTCCATGGTGGTTTGCTTGTTTCTTTTTTTTAATCACAGATTTGCTTGTAAGCAGATAATGTACCATTAATACAGAACATTCCTCTGTATTAATGAAAGCCTTTCAGTGTGGGTTTATGTCTTTAAACTTTTTAAAGAGTTCGTTGAGGTCTCCAAAAGTTTCTGCTAAACCCTTCACTGTGAATTTTCTTAAGTATTTTCTTTCTTCTTTTTCTTCTGCAGCTTTCTTTTCTCTCGCTTCTTTAGCTATACATTCATGTCCCAGTTCTAATCCCTCAGTCAATTCCCAGAACCACCGTTAGGTCATCCTCATTCACACCAGGGTTAAAGGTGTTTGTCATCTCAACCACAGCCTTGTGGAATTTTTGCAACCTCTTCATCCTTGGCAATTCCTTTAAGTTATGAGTGAACCTCTTGTCTTCTTACATATGCCATTCATATATTCCTTGGTGACATCACCCCCAACCCCGAAGCAAGGTTCTTGATGCAGTTATAGATGTAATCCTTCCAGCATTGCTGTCTTCCTCAGTTGCAGCAATAGCCTGAGTAAACAGTCTTCAGGTAGTAGACTTTAAACAGCGCTATAACTCCTTGGTCCACTGGTTGGATCAGAGGGATGGTGTTCAGAGGAGGAAACACCACTTGATATTGGGATGAAGATGATCAATAGGAGGATGCCTGGGAGCATTCTCAATAATAAGCAAAACCTTGAGAAGTATTTTATTCTCCAGACAGTACTTCTCCATTTCCCTGGTATAGCAACTCAAAAAGGCATCTTGGAAGAGAAGCTGGGTCTCCCATGATTTCTTATTGCTCCTGTAGCATGCTGGCAGTGTGCACTTATTGATATGCTTGAAGGCTCTGAGGTTCTCAATGTGCCAGATGACAAAGGGTTTCAATGTGTAACCTGCAACATTGCCCCCAAGCAAGACTGCTATCTTACCCTTAAAAGCCTTCAAATCTGGCTCTGACTTGGGTTCCTTATGGATGGAAGCCCTTTTAGGCATCTGTTTCCAGAAGAGGGAGGTTTCAGCAATATTCAATATTTGTTCTGGCAAGTAATTTTCCTCTACAATCAGCTTATCTCAAGTTTCCAAAAATTCCTCACATCAACCGTCACTTTCACATTATGGAAGGAATAACGATTCTTGAATTGTTTAAACCACCCAGAGCTAGCAGTAAATTCAACACTGTAGTCCAGCCTTTTTTTCAACATCACAAACAAAATTTTTGCTTTGGCCAGAATTGTCATGGTACTGAGAGGGACACACATCTGCGTCTGGTCTTCAATCTAGGTTATTGGAAGTTTCTCCTTGTCTGATATAGGTTCTTCTCGAATTTTCTCTTAGTTTGATTGCCTTTGATGAAGCAGATCCTTCAACCATTTCCATCACTTTGTTGTCTTTCTTCAGCTATGCTGAAATGGGACATGCCTGACTGGTGAACAATAACCATCACTGATTTCCCACCTTCTAGTCCTTAATTACTTGGCCTCTTACTGGCAACATTAGCAGTGGATTCCACACACTTAGGGGCCATGATGAACAAAATAACATGAAATTAAATAACATAAGATAAAATGATACAATTAAGAAATGCAGCAAACTAGATGTATCATGCTGCTGCAGGCTTAATATGTATACTGGTTTACAACAAACTAATCTAGTAATAGACAAACATGGTAATTAACTGTACCTTCGCTATGCTTCC